AAAAAAAAAATTGCATTAGATTCATATCTAAATTTTATCTCAAATTATTAATATTTTTTATACTACTGTATTGTAATGTGTTTAAAAAAATATAATGATCATTTAAAAAGTAAGATATTATAAAAAAAGTAAAAAAAATTAACAAATATGTGAGGATGGAGATGGAAAGCCTAATCTACATATTTGTATTTTCCTCTTTCTATGCAGTTTAATTTTATTTTCCTTAGTATATAACTAGAGTAACAATCAAAAAGAAAAGGGAATTGAAAAAGAATAAGAAAAAAGGTTAATAATCTTCTATTTTTGCAGCTCAATCACTCATTTTGCTTTAAAAATAAACATTTTTATCATTATATTATTTCTTCTTCATATTCCTCTCTAATTCATAATAAATAAAAAGTTAGGATTAATAATAAAAATGAATCAATGATCACACAAGATAACCTTTCCCAAACATGGTTATAATATAATTTTAATGTATAATTAGTAATTTGATTAGACAATCATTAAAATTAAGAAGGAAAACTCGTTGCAGTTTGGGGCTTACTTGAATTGGAGACATAATGGCTTATCCATTTATGCACTAGACTCAAAATATTTACTAAACTTCAAAATTATTTGAAAAAATAAATATTCTCATTCTGATTCTATTAGAAGTGCTCAAAATCCATATTTGCATTGATACATATGATCTATGATCTATAGAATAGAAGGGCCTATTTATCATTTTTATATAAATAAATTGTTCTATTTTCATAGATATGATATAAGAGAAAATCAAATCCTTCTTCATTCACCAGTTCTTAAACTTTCAACATAGAATAATGTTGTTTGGTATCTTGCAAGGCTCATACCCTTGAGTAGTTCATGGATTCAATCTATCTCTGCAATATTTTTTTATTCTCATTCCTTTAATCAATTTTAATTTCCAAGAAGTTGAAGTTCAAAATTTGGAGATCCTGAAGGACCTGCATAAGCTCTTTAGATGGGAATAGTTGAAATAAGCTAATAAGATTAATTAGAAATCAGAAGCGAGAAAATTTGTTCCTTTTGTAATAATGGATATTCATGAATGCACATAGATGAATTGAGAAAAAGATGCTTGAATAAAAAAAAACACTTCTTTTAATATATATTGTGACAAAATAAATGTTTAGAAAAATGAACTGGTCGATTCTACTGATGCGCCCCTAGCGTATGTTGTTTTTCTACGTGTTTTATGTTAGTTTAAATCCCTGATACAATGCCAAAAATTTGACTCGTCCCAAAATTACGCAGTAATTTAGTTTTCAAAAATATGGTCAAAAACTTGACTCAATTTATATTAAGTAATTAATGTGCAAAATTGAAATGTTATAAAATATAGCAAATAGTTCACACACTATGGGTTCTACGCAAGTGCACGCATTGCTTCAAGTAATATATGACTTTCTGATTAAGCCCCAATTATTGATCCCACGAGGAAGCGATGAAAGAGGTCCTTAGTCAAATTCCAGTCTACTCTTATTAGTCTTTAGTTTGGAATGTCGATTAAAATGGTGTTTTATGTAGCAACTACTCCTAAATGCGAATGTTAAATGTAAGGATAATAGCTATTCCTAAATGTAAATATTAATTCTAAAGATACCCCTTTCTGGATGAATTGGTTTAGAGAATTTTAAGATGTTAAAAACTACTATTCTAATGTAGTGAATTGGATAATGTAAATGAATGAGATATATTAAATATTGTAAGTGTCAAATATGAGCAATTTTAATTCTCTACCCTCAGTCAAGTGTTATAGAGAATCGTTGACTAATCTTAAGTTTAGTCTTTAAATTTGTGGTTAGACTGGGAGGATACTGACGCTCACGCCAGAGCTC